GTCATCTACAAGCTTTGCAAGTGGGAAAACCTGAAAAATCAACAGTGTATCAAATACTTGTTCTCCCCACTGTAACTCTTAATTGCTTTTTTTATTTACTTTTTATATTTGCTGTGTCCTTATTGACTGGGAATCCACACCAGCATAGAACTAGTCTACATTTCTTTAATTATCCATCCATTTTTTTCTGCCTGCTTTTCAATTCAGGGTCTTAGTGGAGCTGGTCACTGCAGGATGCAGGCTACCCCCCCTGGACAGGTCTCAAATCTGTTACAGGCTTTACACAATCTTATTTCTGCTTTAGCTCCTCAGTCATCCCACATTTTTAACGCCTGCTACCAAAGGGGAAGCATTAATGCTTTTTTCTGTGTAATTTATCTGTAGTGTTAGTAAAATATCTCAAACCAGTGGATGAATGGAACAGCCAAAAATACCTGCACGACATAAATGCTGTGTTCCATGCATTTCTAGTAACTCTCAATGATCATGTGAACTGACCCTGGCTGGCAAAATGAGTCTGAATCAGAACAGGCTGACGTCCACCATAAGTGGAAATGTTGATTTTTTTTTTATTTTTTTTTTGCTGCAATTGAGATTTGCACGATTCCAAATTTCAATAAACTACGTATTTTAAAAATAACATTGAAAAATTCCTCATTGTGATGCACAGCTCACAAAAAGCACAGGTGATGTCATAACCGTACAGAAATGTTGTCAACATTACAGGCAGCTTTAATACTGAGTAAAGTTTTGAACACAAAATATTCAAAGAACATTTGAACTTTTAATATTTGCAAAAATATTCCCAGTGGAACAGCTGTTTCCAATCAAGTCGAGATAAAAAAAAAAGACAATTGCCTTCAAAACCACGTGTTTCCAGCATCTCTACGTTTACGGTAGGTTAGAAACCAAAGAAACAGAAATAACTTCACTTCTCTTTTTAAATACAGCAACCCAACAAACCCACAAAGCTGGACTGAACTGGTCCAAACCAGGTGAAGAATCTTAATAAAAAGCAGCAGAATGTGTAAGTTAATACTCATCCACATAACAAACACAATGGGTGAACATGACATTAGTACAACCTGTTACAGACTCACACTGAACAACACAGCTTTGTATTAAAAAAGTAAAAACTGAATTTTTGCTCAGTCCAGCTCTTTGGTTTGATAGTTGCAATAATACAGCACAGATTCACAAAACATAAAACAAAAGTCATGTTTGTTTAAAGAAGCATTTTACATGTAGTTTTACAGTTTTTTTTTAATTTATTTTACCTACACTTTCTGATTTAAGCTGAACTTTTCATTGAAAACGAGGTTTGTATCAGACCTTTTTATTCTTCATAAAACGATCCAGGTGCAGCGGTCACTATCTGCCAACACTTGCAGTGAGGAGCCTAACAAGGAAAAGTAGAGCCAGGTTTGAAAAACACAAATCAGAAATACATTTTCTAAAGATTATAAAGCTTCACACAGTCTGACTACATTTCTCATAGACTTTGTTACCAGGTAAGTCACCTTTGTGCAGAGCTTCGTTGGTCATGCGATGGATGTAGCGGGAGCTGCTATCGGGAAGCAACCACTTCATGACCATGTTCACACAGGACTTCCTGTAAGAGCTCCACACGCTCCCACTGATGGAGAGACGGGAATCAGCACATCTGTGCACATCTTAAAAAGTATTACAGATGAGAACACTGCTCACCTGGTCTGACCCTTAACCTCCGTCAGGTCACCTACACCCACAGTACAACATGCTCCCGTGCTCAGGTCCCAGCTAACCAGCAGATTAGAATGGTACGTGTTTTGCCTGAAATAGGAAAAACAATGAAAAAGGGACCGAATGAGAGAAACACAAACGCCACTAAAAGTAATAGCACACCTCCCACCTCCGAGCCGGTCGTTTTGATATAACATTTGTAGGAGTGCATGTTGCCGTTCAGGCCGCATTAATGCACAACTGTAAAAATAAAGATATAAAGTACAGAGATCCTTTTTTTAGGTGAATAATGGGTGCCTCCATAATGCCTTCATCTGTTCGCTTATTAAATCGATATGGCAAGCCCTAATGAGACTGTGTCAAAAAATATCCTACGTGAAATGTAAGGCTGGAGAATGTCCTGATGCATCTCAGTAATCCAGGTAAAAAAATCAAAAAGAAAAAAAATTGTATAGGTCTTTTTTTTTAAGGCTGGAGAAGTTTTGAGTGATCAAGTTGGTTTAAAACCTGAATTAAAAAAAAGGAAAAGGGGGGGAGCCGTTACCTGCGGTGCTCATCATCAGAGGCTGAAAACGCCAATAACAGCAAGCCAATGTTGATCATCACTACGTTGGTCTCAGAGCACACCTGAAGTACAGAACAACAAATTACATCCAGGTGGACGTCAGTGTTTTTTATCCTCTTATGGCTTACAGTTGTAAAAACATCAAGAAATTAAAAGGAGAAAAACCTTGTAAAAAAACAAAAAAGACAGGTTCAGTTTATTGACAAAAGCTCAGACATAAAAAGATTTTAAAAATCAGCAACAACTCTAACTCCTCTTATTCATCATGTACAACTTAATCCTAAACAGAACGAGTTCATGTATTCTTTATTCTAAAATACCAGCTTTAGGCCTCAGAGTACAACTGAAAGTTTGAAATATTTACCATAAGGTTGTAATACTGGGAAATCTACCTTGTAAAAATCTACTTTTACCAAGCCAAAGTGCTGTTTTTCAAATTAAAGCTACATCTTTAAAACACCATTAATCCTTAAACTCTTTAAATATGGTTTCAGTTTGGTGTGTCATTTTCTACTAACTCAGACAACAACCTTCTAACTGGGAACACTGTTGACTTGTGAGAAAATAATTAAAAGGCTCAGTTGTTCGTTGTGATGAGGGATAATAAAGTGTGTGTGTGTGTGTGTCGACTTTTACCTCCAGTATCACAACATCATAATCGCTGAAGGAACAAAACTGTGGAGCCCAGGCAGCATCACTCCTGATGACCTCGTTGATAAGATACTCGAAATCCAGAGTCAACTGCTCTATACACACACTCTGCAAGAGAGAGGAAGACACAGGTAAATCTGTCGGTCAGGACAATTACTGAGCACACTTCCATCAACAAAGACAGCGGTGACCTCTGCTGGCAAAACCAGTCACAACAGGGAAAACTTCAGTTTATATCTCCTGGCCTGGCAACAAGCTAGTTTTACTTATAAGAGTGCCAGCTTGAAAACTACAATATACGAAGGGATTTCCCTGCAGAGAAAAATGGTCAGTTTCAAAAGAAATTAAAAGGATTAGAATTAAAATGATAAAAAAAAGATTATTTGCTATTTAAGGCCCTGTGACACAATGATGTTTTAGACAACTTAGGTTTTGTCCAACACTCTCAGCTTATGCCATCAAGCTGCTGCTAAGAGAGGCACAAGTTACAGGTATACTACAGATAATTTATGCATCAGTTCACATGTTACATAAGTTATTAATTCATTACTGCTGTGGCAGATCAATTTGTGTCACAACAACCATGACTAATGTTGCTGCAGTGGCCCAGGGGTCTCATTTATAAAGGATTGCATGGAAACCATACTAAAAGTGAACGTACGGCCAAAAGGCGGAAATGGTGTAGGCCAAAAAAATTCAGATGTATAAAACCGTGTGTACGCACGTTTCTGCGCATCTTTCCTTTATAAATCACAGCCGCACGTCAGAGTTTGCGCACAAGTCCCGCCTCAGGTTCTACCCTCTACACGCCCACATTCAACTATAAACAGTCAATGTAAAGTACCTCATGAARGTTAAGATGTATTTAAATCAGTCAGCTGATCAATGCCAACAAAAGTGATTGGTTCAGACACGCTCCATCGTAAGTCTGGAGTATGACAGGTGCTGACAGCTGCTCACGTGAACAGAATGTCTGTAATTGACATAGATTTTCCATCATTTTGCTTTAGAGTAAATAACGACTTATTTAAAAAAACTCAGCTTCAAATTAATTTTCTCTCAGAGCCTGCAGGACGATAAAAACAATAAAAATTAAATTAAATAAGTCATGTAAAATTAGAAATAAGTACACTGCTCTTCTCCTCGTCCTCTCCCCCTCCTGCCTGCTCTGTTATCCGCGGCAGACACCCCCGCCCCGCGCGCACACACACACGCATCGCCCTGCGCCTGCACGTGACAAACACGGACTTTAAAATGTGGTTTCATAACATTCACACTGGCGAGGTGGATGCACCCTGCGCATGTATCCAAAGCGTGACTTTTGGTGTCCTGCTGTTCTTATCGGAGAGGGGTCTGTGGGTCAGGGTCGTCTGAGGAGGAAGCAGATGAAGGGAGTTGCGCACGGGAACTTTTATTTAAGATTTAACTTCTTTTTTTATTTCAAAAGGTCCTCATGGCTCAGCAGCAGAAGCGTAAATATTACTGTTAAGAAAGCTGATGATAAAGTTGAATAAAAATCTAAGTCTGATTCTGAAGGTAAATTAAATATCTGACAGTGATCATGACACAGTGTGGCTCTAATTCCTCACTTCACCATCTGTGTCGCAGTTTCACGTCTCCAAAATGAGCGTACGCATGAGTCAGAGCTGGCGTGAGGCACCGCACATTTTCACGTCAAGTTTGGATTTTATAAATCACAACCTTGGTGTAAAAAGTGGCGTACGCAAGTTTCTGGGCTCATATTGTGCGTACGCCAGTTTTATAAATCTGACCCCAGGTCTGTTTAAAAGCTCATCAAACTCATCTGCCCTTGTTTGAGCCTCTCTCCTCTCCAGCACCCACCTGCATGTGCTGCACCTCGTTCCCTCAGGTGGTCGATGAGAATTCTTCTGTGGGGTTTTCCTCTGACAGCTGGTTAAAAATATATATCTGCCAGCTTTGGTTTGTTCTCTGCTCATCCTTTATACATTTTTAACTCAGTCTGGCAAACATATTTGAGCCTCTCTCTCTGACTTCTTCCCCAACATGTTGACAGCTGTCTGTCAATCACTGAGGGACACATATTCTGATAGAAGTTAGGTGTCCACTTGATAATAACCAACTTGCTTCTGACATATGTCCACGTGTGAGTAGGCCTGTCACGATAGTCAATAAATCAATCAATCGTATGATAAATTATTTTGAGATAGATAAAAAAAAGAAGAGGACGATAATTTTCATTTTCCTGCTTGTTCGTTTATGTCGTCTCTCCCTCTAGCTAGGTGGTTGAAATGAGGAAGGAAAACAAGTCAGAATACAAAACGAAGAATGAGAACAAAAATACAAGCGCTGCCGGCAGCGATGGGCCAGATCCGATTAAACATTGTTCATTAGTCTGATGGCTGATGGGAAGAAACTGTTCTTGTGGCGGGAGGTTCTGGTCTGAATGGACCGTAGTCTTTTGCCTGAGGGGAGGGGATGAAACAGGTTATGACCGGGGTGAGAAGGGTCAGCTGTTATTCTGCCTGCATGACCTAGAGTTCTGGAGGAGTACAGCTCCTCTACAGGTCGGAGGTTGCAGTGTGCACAATGTGCTGCAGTCTCTGTCTCTGCCTGTGGCCCCAATGTAACATACGGTGATGGAGGAGGTGATGATGGACTCCATGATGGCTGTGTAGAACCGCACAATCATCTCTTCTGGCAGTTTGTGTTTCCTCAGCTGCCTTAGGAAGAACATCCTTTGCCCAAGAAGCGGAAGGAGTCCACAATCGGGATGGAGTAGTTGCTGAGAACCAGAGGAGATGTAGGGGATGTGACTTTCCTGAAGTCCACGATTAACTCCACTGTCTTCTGTGCGTTGATCAGCAGGTTGTTAGAGCTGCACCAGGACACCAGCTGATCCACTTCCCTCCTGCACAGACTCATCTCTGTCTGAGATGAGCCTGATGAGGGTGGTGTAGTCTGCATACTTGATGAGTTTCACAGACTGGTGGCTGGAGGTGCAGCTGTTAGTGTACAGGGAGAAGAGCAGAGGAGAAAGTACACAGCCCTGAGGAGAGCCGATACTGAGGGTCCAGGTCTCTGAAACAGTTTTCCCCAGCCGCACATACTGCCTCCGATCCGTCAGGAAGTCAGTGATCCACCTGCAGGTGGAGTCAGGCACATTGAGCTGGGAGAGCTTGGTTTGGAGCAGATCTGGCAGGATTGTGTTAAACGCAGAGCTGAAGTCCACAAATAGCATCCTTGCGTAGGTTCCTGGGGTGTCCAGATGCTGCAAAATGGAGTGAAGGGCCAGGTTAACAGCATCGTCTGCAGACCTGTTTCTTCTGTAGGCGAACTGCAGCGGGTCCAGCAGGGGGGCAGTGATGGTCTTTAGATGAGGGAGAACCAGGCACTCAAATGACTTCATGGCTACAGACGTCAGAGCCACAGGCCTGTAGTCATTGAGGGCACTGATCCATGGCTTCTTGGGGACAGGGATAACGGTGGAGGACTTGAAGCAGGCTGGCACGTGACACTGTTCCAGGGAGGTGTTGAAGATGTGTGTGAAAACAGGAGTGAGCTCCATTGAGCAGTGTTTCAGGATGGAGGGGAAGACACCATCTGGTCCAGGAGCCTTGTGGTGGTTTAATTTCCTGAATAGTTGCAACACCTCCCGCTCCTGGAGGAGGAGGAGGACCCATCAGTGGGGGTGGGTGAGGGGTTGTGAGTGGTGCACTCAGGGATGGTGGGTGGGGGTTCAGTAGGGGGCCCACAATATGCATTGATGGGGTGGGCTGAGTGTTTCCCTGGCTGGTGGAAGGGAGATCAAAGCGACAGTAAAACTCATTGAGGTTGTTGGCCAGGCTCCGATCACTGACAGCAGGGGGGGGGCAGCTGGCTTGTAGTTGGTTAGCTGTCTAAAGGCTCCAGCACGCTGCTGCCGAACTGCTGAAATCGTGCCGAATTGTCGCAGTTTCGTGACGAAAATTGCGTCACTTCTGTTTGCATTGCCGACATTTTGGCAATTCTTGTCGCAACCCGCGGGTCGAACTTTTCACCCCCCTCCCACATAAGAACACATAGGAACCATATTGTGTGATTGGTCAGAAGTTTGTGGGAGTGTTTGTTTGTGCTGAAAGTGCTCAGACGCTGCATTTGCTTCAACTACTCGCTTCAAAAAAGGCGACTCGTTCCAGAGCCGACTGTTGTACCAGGAAGCAGCGATTTATAAAGATAGTCAAATTGCCAAAGCCTCATAAAAGGAGACAAAACAGACATTTTTCACAGTGGGATCTGACTGATGAAAACTTTGGAGCTTATCCAGGACCAGTTTGTGGATAAATAACTTCGGGTGACAAGTCTCAGACTTTTTTTTTCCGACATTGGATTCCACTGGTAGAGAAATCCCATGCAGTGACGTATGCTGCAGTGGGAGGGGTTTCCCAAAAGCTAGGCGTGGGGTGTCTGAAGAGCTATGAAAGGTCTGTGCAAAAACGAACGCCGAACAACCACGTGACCACATGCCAACCGGTCGGCTCCGAGCGACCATACTGCCTGCTTAAGCCCCCTCTACACTGAGGCAGAGTTTTCTTCAGAGAGCTGTTGCTGGAGACTTTCAGAATACACAAGTTTAGCTTTTCTCACCTCCCTGCTAAACTTGTATTTTGTCACCTTGTAGCCCCCCCTGAGTGATCTCTTTCTCCAGTCTGAGACACCTGAGACTGCCTGTGAACCAGGGCTTGTCATTTTGATAGCATACCCTGGTGCATGTTGGCACTATGCTCTCCTCACAGAAGTGGACATATGAGGTCACAGTCTCTGTAAACTCGTCCAGGTTGTCTGTGGCCATCCTGAACATCTCCCAGTCTGTGGAGCCCATGCTCCACCACCTTCAGTGGTCCACTTTTTTTGAAGTCCTTACTGCAGGTTTGGAGAGCTTCGGCCTCTGCCTGTAAGCAGGGATTAAGTGGACCATGACGTGGTCTGAAAGTCTGAGAGCTGCACGTGGCACCGCTCGGTAGGCTCCGCTCGTGGTCCAGGGTTTTCTCTGCTCTTGTCGGACATTTAATAAACTGTATTTGGGGAGTTCATGGCCAGGATTACCCTTGTTAAAATCGCCCAGGATAATGACTAAAGAGTCCAGAAAAGTTCGCTCCACACAAAATCTGAGCTGCAAGTGCGTGTTGAGCTTCGTGCGCATCCGCCTCCAGCGCAATGTAAACAGCAACCAAAATGAATGGAGTGAACTCAAGTGGAGAGTAGAATGGTTTGCAGTTGATAAAAAGATGTTCCAGAGCAGGTGAACAGTGCTGAGAGATCACAGACACGTTGCACCAGCGGGTGTTGATGAACAAACAGACTCCCCCACCTTTGGACTTGCGTGAGAGCACCGGGTCACGGTCCGCATGAAAAAATAGCAACTAAAAGTAGGAATACTACAAACTTGCATCTGCACCTAAAATACAATCATCCGATGCAGTTTTCCCAGCTGGGAAAAAACTAAAACTGACGGGTCGTCTCAGTCTTCCCAACAGTCCACAATGACGAGCGACATACATAAAGGGAAGAGCAAAGTGGTGTGCACTCACAGACAGCGTAGTTCACTTCATCTCTAAAGAGATGCTGCTCTTTAGTATTGTTTATTTACTGTTTCAGTTGTGTGTGCTGTTATTCAAGTGCATTTTTTGTTCAAGACTGAGAGGCCATTTTGTTAAACATTCTTTAAAAATTTACGTTTATCGATCTTTGAGAGGATGTACTTGCATTTTTACGCCTTTATCACTATACTAGTTTTAAAATGGTCACCAGACAATATTATCATTTATCGCAATAATTTCAGAGACAATTAATCGTCCAGCAAGATTTGCTATCCTGACAGGCCTACATGTGTGAAGATATATTTAACAGACCTGAAACGTGCGTAAAAATGATCAGCTCCACATACAGTAAACATTTTGAGCATTTTTAAAATTCTGCGCTGGTTATCTCTGTATGACAACGTATGCCCTCTTACAGTTGGGGAAAAGTATTTATTCAGCCACCAATTCTTCAAGTTCTCCCACTTATAAAGATGAGAGAGGCCTGTAACTGACATCATAGTTAGACCTCAACTATGACAGACAAAATGAGAAAACACATCTAGAAAATCACATTGTCTGATTTTTTTTGTGTTGCACAAAATTTGCAGATGTCAGCACAACTTTAACTTCCTAGTGTGACAGGGCCTTTACTAACAGGGATTGCTAAATGGTCTCTTTTGTCCTAATCAGGACAAAAAAATCAATATTTTCACATAGTTTGCACAGCAGTCTGTGCTCATTACCACTCATGTTGCCAGAACAGGTCACATTTTTCAATAATAACTGTAATATTAACATTTAACCATAAATTCTGACAAATATTACTTTTCCCAGACACCGTTTTTGCTTTCTGTCAACGTTAGGCTTAGTTTAAATGTTTTAACATTTACAGTAAACAATAAAGATTTGCTTTATTATCAATAAGCACCATAAAACATAAATTGTTTTGCTCCTTAGTTTGTGGCCTAAAAAAGATTTCACAATATTCTGTAAAACTGTTTTCTTTCAAGTAAAACAGAAAATCTGCATATTTCTAATGAATGTGGTTAAATACCAAGATGCAAGCTTTCCCAGCAGAATAAGAGCTGTTCAAGAAGTCTGGTCTTACTGTGTATACTTCAGACACAACACTTGCCTGTTCGTTATGCGGCTCAGTAACCAGCTGCAGGTTTCTTCCTTTCAGATCTTTGACAGTGAAATGTAGCTGGACTTTATCATCTTCATAACCTAGAAAAACAAAACAAACAAGGCTTTTATCAGCTCAAATCTAAGGTTATGGTCTCATATTTCCACCCGTAAGCTTTTAAATTTATTTTCCACTGACCTCCAGCACCTCCTGGGTTCTGCTCTGCTGCTCCTGGCTTCTGTAGGCAGAAGTGCAGGCGGGAGTAGTTCACATATCCAGGTTCGTTGGGGCCAACGCCCTGGCATGTGGACTGAATCGAAGTTGATGGAAGTGATAACGGAGAAGAGGCAGGAGAGAGCGCTTGTTCTGAAAAAACTTGTGGAAAACCGTGGTTCCTATTTGATGCAGTTGACATTTGTGATGAACTAGTCTGATCATCTCTTGTACTGCTCTCTTTGTAATCCCTCCCATCTTCTGACGTCTCTACAATGTTCCCTTTATCTTCAGGTTTAGGCTTTGCCTCTTTTTCATCACCACTGGCTGCTCTCTCCACTTGTTCCTCACTAGTTTTCCCTCCAGCTCCCTGGGCTCGCCTGAAAAGGTCGGCGGCAAACTCCCGAGCTCGTAAGGCTGCTTGTGAATGGCTGGGTGATGAGGGAACTGCAGGCGGCCTGGAAGGAACCTTCTCTGCAGATCCCTGAGGTAGGGAGGAGGAAACCAAGGAAGTTGAGGACAAAGATGTTGAAGCTTGAGTTGGCTGGGCTGCTCCCTTAGCGTAAAGAATCTGTGAAGACTGACCTGGCCTTCCTGCCAACAACAAAGAAAAACTGTAAATACAGCAATGAGGACAAAAACATAATCAGGATGATTTCAGTTTCATCTATGGTGACCAGCATATCAAAAGAACCCAATACAAACACTGTTTTGGGAATATTTCCACCTTGTTGATGAATTAAGTTATTTTCAAACATCACCCAGAGACCAGTTTTTAACTGATTAAACTTTTCACATAAACATAACTGTCACTGAAGAGTACTTTCTACCCTACTGCTGAGAGGACACCTTCTGCTTTCTGAGCGATAAAAATACATATTGGTAAAATCAAATTAAAGCTGAAATTTTTAATATACCTGTACTTGTTGTCAATGAAAACCCTTTCTTTGATGATGTATGGTATTGATTTTTAAAAGTGTTAAGTAAATTGTGTTATTGTTTTTATGTTACTTTGTTGTGGTGGATGTAACAGGTCTCTCTTGTAAATGAGACAATGAGTCTCAAGAGATTTTCCTGTATAAATAAATAAATAAATAAATAAATAAATAAATAAATAAATAAATAAATAAATAAATAATCATGGATGGTAGTTTAGTAGTCAGGTGACACTGGACTAATAATGCGAGACTTCGAGGCTGCTTTCCAGTCACAGCTTTTAATCTTGTTTTAATCAGGTTATGCTGAGAATTCAGATTATTTAATCAGATATGTAAAAACTTAATGTGATACAAAGTGGTGGCACAAAGCAGATGGCAAACAAGATAAGCTAAAGTCACAAATATTGACTGAATACAAACAGAATAATACAAATACATGGCTTTACACTTTAATGTGTAAAAATTGTACCATTGTTCAGATCATTAGCCGTGTTTCCATCCAATTTTAATTTGAATTTTGGGGGATTTTTAAAAAAATTTGCAAAAATGTAAAAATGGAGAAATGCGAATCAGACGTGTTTCCATCAAATGGCTTGAAGCGAATCAATTACGTCAGACGCATGCGTGTAGAAAACAGGAAGTAAAAGTAGCAGCTCAGGAAAATTGAGAGAAGTTATCAGGAACGTGTTGCTTTCAGGAAAGTTGTAATTATTCTATCATCAACTAGTTTTGGCGATTTTACATGCGGTCAGGAGGAAGTAATGTAATTCTTTTCACGTTACAAGAATAACTGAGAACATGTCGACAGCGGGAGGAGGGTCCAGCTGCAGTTACAGCTGCACTCGTTCTGGTCCCAGGACCGGTTTCGGACAGATAGCGGGAACAGCTGATCAACATGTGAGGTAAATGTTCACTATATCAGAACTGATTCAAAAAATGTGTTTCCAATTCTCTTTTTGCGCATTAACTCTTTTTCGAAAAACCCAAAAACCACCTCAAGCTAGCGTATCAACTTTGATGTGAATTAGAGGAAGTTTTTTCGAATCATGCCGTTTCCATCCACCTTTTCTGATGCGATACTTCAAAATGCGCATTAAAAACCTTGAGGAAACACGGCTATTGGTCAGCTACAGCAGCATTTTTAGTGAAAGCAGTGAACATAAATCAGCCAACGACACTTGTTGAAAAGTTAAAGTTAGGCTTTAAGGTTGGAGTTAAGCATTTAAGTAGATTGGCCAGTTTGCTTGTTTATGTCACCTACTTGGTCTGTTTTGAAAAGTTTCAGTAAAACTGTACTAACTATCTTCTAACTAGGAATGTGCGATATGGCAAAAAATTCATATCACGATATATATTATGATGAGTGGCGGTAATGATATATATCACGATATAAAACTTATAATAGAAAATAAATAAATCACACATTAATTAAGTGGAATAAATATGTATAGGTAAAAAAAATTTAGACCTTAAAATCTCTCTTTTCAAGGGACTAGATAGATAGATAGATAGATAGATAGATAGATAGATAGATAGATAGATAGATAGATAGATAGATAGATAGATAGATAGATAG